GCCATGTTCTGAAACATCAAAATGATAAGAATATTTTGAAGAACACTTCCTAAATCAAAATGTTATTTCAAAATACATATGGAACAGAGAATAAAACAAATCGCCTCCAGAAAATTCACATTATGCTGTTTTATCATGAACATCAGCAGAATTTTCAAAATGGGCACATAACAGTTATTTCTTCACAATTAGTCACAAACAAATTGTCACAATATGTTAGAAGGAAAAAGTCTCTCTTGTGGTCCGAAAGTACTGTTAGGGGCATCTGAATTGCCTGATGTATGTTTGGAAATGGGCAAAATGGTAGCATTTCAAAATAGAAATGTCATTTCTGTAAGCACTATCTTTTCGCAAGCACCAGAGTCTTTAAAAAGCTAAAATATATTTTTAAATCAACAGAACAATTTTTTCCTTTCTGTCCCTGTCCTTCTCATCAGAGGACCTATTGTTACATGCTCCGCTCCCTAAAGGACAGGCAAGTATTAGTTCAAAGTCTCTAATACGTCTTTTCAAATGTTGTAGAGGCAATGTTGATTTTATTTGAGCCATGCATACGCCTGTCATTTTGTGGCTTCTATTATAATTGGAATGAGCACCCAGATCACAAAATAAAGATGCACTGCGTTTTTATTACAGTGATTTTCACTCCCTACTAATTTGTCCCATATCCCAAATACTTAATGTTCTTTGCTTCTTTTGATCATATCTCATGGGACTCCTAGATAGTGGTGGTTAAAAAATAAAGGTTTAGAGAGAGATAAGGGGGCTACAAAGCAGCCTGTGAACGCGGTAGAACAGAATATGCCTTTCAGCTATTTTTGTACTCTGCTCACCACAGGGCGCATCTTTAAGAGAGCTCAGCCGATGTATGAAAACCTGCACTTCACATAAATCTTCTTCTTTCACATTACTAATCCCCAGAATTTTATGAATACACACAAAGCTCATTTTCAGTTCCTGCCAGTCACCTCTAGCGGCTGTGAAGTAAAAGTCAGAATTGCTGCAAAGGTAACAGAAGAAAGCCCGTGGAAAATGGAAACGGCATCTACATGAAATAAAACAGTAGATTTTTATAATCTCGAGTACAGACTCTACACTACATTTGGATGTAGTGCTCCCGTAGTATGGTGTGTATGTGATTTGAGAATAAGCCTCTGAGGTGAGGGATTAGGATTTATGTGTCTTTATACATACAGCATGTCACACAGAATCTGGTTCATGAACACAGCGAGCATGGAACAACCAAGGTAGGTCCTTTCTCTGTCTGCTGCTTCTCATTGCGTCAGGACCTATGTGAGTCAACTTCACCCATCAAAATGTCTATCCTTCAACTTCAACATGTTGTCAACTCAAATTATATTGGAAAAAAGTATATTGGACTCATAGCACCATAATCAAAAGATGCAGCTAAACCCGAGGACACCTGAAGAATATAGCTCATAATATAAGAAAGAGTAGCAATTTCTATCTTCGGCCAACACTGGTCATCACTGAGGTCTGATGAAAAGACCCTGCAGAAAGTCATAATAGAACTGTGTTATATTTCTGGCCTTCCTTCTCAGTAAGTAGCAGTTCCTTAAACTTTTCTAGTGTCTGTTTTTTATTTTCAAGAAGTTTTTAAGGGGCACCTGAGTGGCTCAGTCAGTTAGGTGTCCTACTCTTGATTTTGGCTCAGATCCTGATCTCAGGGTCGTGAGACTGAGCCCCGCATCGGCTCCATGCTGGGTGTGGAGTCTGCTTAAGATTTTCTCTCTCCCTCTGCCCCTCCCTGCCCTCTTTCTCTTAAAAAAAAAAAAAAAAAAAAGGTAAAATCGAACTTACGAAACTCCATGGTAGGTTTTACGGGCCAAAGGATTGGTTTTATTATTCTTAAAGGTGCTGTATAAACTCATTAGCTTGATGGTTTTCTCAAGTCATTGGAAAGTCCTAGGTTAGATATCCTTAAAGATATTGCTTGCTAAATAAACACACTGTTTGGGATTTAAACTTGGAAGACTGTTTTGTATTCATGATGAACACTATTGACACTTCAGGCAGCTTCAACAGGTAATATATGATCCAATTAGATAAAAGCATTATTTCTTTCTAATGTACCTAACAATGTTCATGCTAAGACTGAACTTGGAAGTGAGAGAAAGTAATTAGGGTGAGACATTCGAAATTGTTTTAATCAATGACAGTCAACTATATATTCCAGTAATATGATATTTTTTTCTATTCTCTTTAGAAATGTGACCAAATTCCACACATTAATTTATAAAATTATTACACATAATGTATAATATGTAAAAGTTGCTTTCTACTGTTAAAATAGCAATATTTTAAAAACATCCTATCACTGTTTGCAGATAATATTCTGGGAGAAGATGCTTACAGTAACTCTAATGGTTTATTCTTATAATGATATTCTAAACAAGACCTAGCCTTGCTGCTGTTTAGTTACACAAGGATGATATAGAACTCCAAGATTATTTTCCTTTCATTTAAGAAACCACAAAACCTGAAGTATTTTACAACCAGAATGGAATAAGAAAAATCCAGGTGAAATACACTACAAAAGTGGCCTTGACCAGATACCTCATGACTAGGAAGCAAATGTCCAGGGGGGACTTGGACTCTATTTATGTTTGATCCAGACAAATGTTTCATGGAAATAAAGTTATCATCTGTGGAGACTCCTCTCTTCTCAGCATTCCCATGACTCCCATTTCAACCCTATATTTCACTTTTAAACTAGGTTAAATGTAGCTTAACAGTCAGGAGGCCTATCTGTTTGAAAATTTAACAAATGCTGAAGTACTAAAGGGAAAGCAAAAAAGATGTTTCTGGAGGAGTCTGGCCAGAATACTGTATTTTTACCAAAGAGTTCCAGAATTTGAACTGGTAGGCTTATTGTATTTTAATCATTTATGACCTAAATTAAGAGAAAATATGATAAGCACTGGGTGATGTATGGAATGGCTGAATCACTATACTGTACCCCGGAAACTAATATATCAATCTATGTTAACCTATGGAATTAAAAGAAAAACTTAAAAAAGAGAGAGAGAGAAAATATGGAACGTTCATCTAATGGTCGGGTTGCTTTTGAAATGTAAAATAATAAGAGGGAGCTATTCTTGTCATTTATAAAGACTTATGAAGTTACTAAATGTTGAATATTACTGGACAAATAATAGTCACACATGTAGTACCTATTTAAAAAAACAAATACAAAAATAAACAGAATATCTACCTATGAGTCCAGACATTAACACCAATAATTTGGAACTCTGATACTGAAAAAAAGAATCATATTAAAAAATGCACTGTGCATTCTACATGCCATTTACTAATAGTACATATGCAGCGACAAGAGAATCGAGCTGGCTTGAGAGTCAGACAGACACAGAACCAGACAAGCCCTGGGGGTGGGTGCTCTGCTCAATACCTGCTGTAGCTCTTCATTGCCTTTGGACTAAAGCCCAAGTCCTTACCATGGTTTTCAAAACCCTACCTGATGTTCTCCAGCGTCCCTCTGACTTCACCTTCTCCTGTGCTCCTCCCTCCCTCTGCCACCTTCTCTTTGCTGTGGAACTAACACCCCACGTACCCTGAGCCTTGGGCATTCCTAGTGGCTATGCCCTGCGGCAAACATTCTCCCCTCAGATACCACCCGGACTAATTTCTTCATGTCCTCCAAGGTTTTGCTCACATTTGATCCTGACTATCCACTTTACAAATTGTATCCTGTTCTCCCCATATTCATAAATGTAGACTTCAGGTTCCCTTTACCCTGTTCTGCTTTTTCTTGTTTCCGTATTGCATATGAACTTCGAACATCATATAAAATGTACTTGTCTGTATTATCTATTGTTTATCCGTCTCTTCCATTGGAGTGTAAATTCCTACACAGTTGGTGCTCAGTTAACAGTTGTTAAATGAATATTATCTTTTATATGCATAAAAACCTGTACTTAACCATTAGAAAGTAAAAACCTAGAATTCACAGTCAACAGGGAAGATAAAAGAAGTTGTTTAAAATATGCAGAGTTGATATCCAATATCCCACATTCCAGGGTATTTGGAAGTGATACACTTCTTCTATTTAGCAACAAAAACTATATTCAATATATATTCCTAGTCAAAATGTAAATTAAAATTCAAAAGCTCAAAATTAAATCCAGAGCCATAAAGATAAATAGCCTCATGTTAAAAACTACATATATAGTACACAATCACAAAGAAAAGAAGGCACAGCCATTTGACTGGATCCTGGCTTTCCGCAGTAACACAAGAATTCTTACAAAACTCCCAGTGAGTAAAACTATATTATTTAGAGACTTTTGACAATTTAGCAAGAAAGTCCATCCATAGCAATTCCATTCTCCAATTACTTCAGCCACCAATATGATCAATATGGCAGCTATTTCAACAAACAGAAGTAAGGATAAGGCTTAGATATTCAGCGGCACCGTAGGGAATATTTCTCCTGATCGTTTAGGAAAAAATAGAAATAAAAAGTCTCCTTGTCGCCATAAACACTGTATTTGTCTGTAAAAATGGTGCAGATATATTTACTATCTGGAATAATGAATTTCAAACATACATTCTAGCTTACTCTGTGGTAAGCAAGAATAGCAACACTACTTAAGACTCAATGGCAAAGAGCTCTGAGCGGGGAACCAGAGACCCGGCTGCTAAGTGAGTTCTGCTGCAGGTCACAGGGCAAGCCTCTTAACCTTCCCACATTGTGAAACGATCCGGTGGACTGAATGGGTCTCTAAGGACCTTTTCTGCATATAAATTAATTTTTTTAAATCTTTTTAAAAATTCAGTAGGTTTGATTTTCCTTCTCCAATGCTCAGTAAATCATTAACAATGTATTTTGGACATGGGAAGAAATGGGAATATTTTTATTACTCTGGAAAGCTTTAACCCCGTAATGACCCAGTGTCAAGTGACAAGAAGGGTTTTGGCAGGCCCATTGCCACATACAGGGGGACATGGGGAGAAAATACCTCTGGAGCACAGACTATCGGCCTGCCCTTCCTGTCTACTCATGACCTCTCTTCTTGAATTGCCCTTCTCTGGGAAGCTTTTGGGAGGATGGTCCATTTTTGCCACTTGTTCACCTACCTAATTCTATATAAGCAATGGGTAACCTTTTAGTAGAGTATAAAGTTTTGAATTTTAGAGGTCTTTCAAAGAGCAGGGTTTAAAAATGTATTATAATAGTAAATTTTCTTAATTTTCAAATATTTGATATTACACTTAAAATACAAGAAATAATTTAGTGTGTTCTTTTATTTAAAAGCATTATACAATGTAACATCATTTGATAATGGGAGAGGAAACTCTAAGACAGATTTTACAAATACCTGATATTTCAACTTTGTAGCTCGACATGTTCTGCCACTGGGGAAGATCCACTCAGATTATTATAATGAATACGGGTATTTACATACAATGCAATGAATGGTTCTAACAAAGAAATCCTAATACATTAGCAAAAACTTAAAGTAATTGTTTTTTCTTAAAAGTTATTAATAAAGGGGCAGCTGGGTGGCTCAGTCCTTTGAGTCCAACTCTTGATTTTGGCTCAGGTCATATCTCAGGGTCCTGAGGTTGAGCCCAGTGTCAGGCAGGGAGTCTGCGTGAGATTCTCTCTCTCCCTCTCCTTCTGCCCCTCCCCTACCCCAGGTGTGCTCGCTTTCTCTCTCTCCAAAATAGATAAATCTTTAAAAAAACTTATTAGTAAAGAATTTCATTCAAATAGTTAAATCTTGGTTTCATTAGATTTTTAGTAATTACTTCAAAATGTGGAAATTACTTTAGAACAAAAATGAAATTGAAAACCATGAAAAACTTGTCAAGCCTGAGATCCCAAGTGCTACCTGCTTGGTAAGCAGTTTATTGCTTGCTCTCTTCCTTTCCAAGGAAGGAAAAGGCCTAGCTTTTTCCTTAATTTCCAAATCTGACAAGAATGAAAAAATTTTTATAAGAACAAAACATATTGCTCTAATAATTCTACCCAATAATAATCTACACACAACAACAGCACTTGTGTGTAATGTGTATTTTCAAATCTAATCATACTCAAAGTGAATGCTTTCTTCTATGATGGCTTGTGTAGTTCCCCAGTGGTATATACGTCCTATGCAAATTCTCACATTTCCCTCAATGCAGCCAAGGTGGAAACAGGTATCACGAATGGTTGAATTCAAGGGGAAAGAGCGAAGTAAAACATTAAATGTGACTGGAAAAAGTGTACTTTGTAATGCTATATGAGGCAAGTCCATAATATATATGTAACAGAAACATTTTCTGTTTCAAAATAAATAACTAGCATTAGTAAAGTTAGCATGATAAATATATGAAATAATATAGAAAAAAGACATTAATAGTGGAAGATTTTAACCCATCTCTCCCTGTCCTTCGTAGATTATATGATTTTGGTAGATAGAATAGAAGAAAACATAGATATGTGTACAGAATACCTAAACCATATAACAGGAAAAATAACACGCAGACACAGACACACAGGTAACCTGAAAAAGATTATATACCTTCCTTTCAAGAACCTAGGAAATAATTGCAAGATATGTTATATGTTTCTAATATATAAATATTGGGAAAATGTAAGTATGGGAGTTAGGATTGAATATGGGTTTGAGGGATGAGTGGAATTCGAGTCAAGGAAGAGAATGACTACAGGGATATTCTAAGCAAATGTAAGATGACAAACAATGCAACCAGAAGGTGCTGGATAAAGAGTGGGAGGCAGAGAGTGAGGAAAATATACTTATGAACACCTTAAGGGAAGAGAGATCTGACCACAACTGGAGCATGCATTTCGTGCAGCAAGAGCTATCTAATGGGCACCTGGGGGGGGCAAACGAGTGAGGGGGGTGTGAAGGCTAGAGGGAGAGGGAAAGAGAGAATCTTAAGCAGGCTGCGCCCAGTGTGCGACTCAATGCAGGGCTCAACACAGGGTTCGCTCTCATGACCCTGAGATCATGACCTGAATCGAAATCAAGAGTCAGGCACTTAACCGACTGAGCCACTAGGTTACTGCACTGGCAGAGTCAATGAGGTTAGTCGTTTAGTCTGTTGGTGCAAAAAGCACTGGAGAAAAAAGAACTGGAGTAAAGATAAAAGTATTAGAGTATTATTACCAAGCATATAAACTGTAAAATATATACTCCCCAGGAATGAAGGCTTCTTATGAAGTGGGAGCAACAGGAGAAGAGATGAAGGGATGTGTTGAAGGTGGGTGACAAAGGGAGAAATTGCAGGACACAGTGTCGGGCTGAAAAATGAAGGATTCATAGTTGACTCCCAGATTTCAGTTGTAGGAAAATGGTAGTAAGATTGACAGAAATAGAAAATGTATGAAAACAAGGAAAGCATGTGATTGTATGAAAGGTTCTGAGCTTTGATCAATGCTGTTTCTGCAGTATTACTTCCTCTCCCTTAACTTCATAGTATATTTTTCATATGCAGAATTTAAAAACTGAACCCTTGCAATTAAATTTGGATCAGCATTGGTTCCTAAAAGTGTTCTGTGGGCCAGCCTTAGCCTATTGTTTTTGGGTTTTTTTTTTTAAGATTTTATTTATTTATTTGTCAGAGAGAGAGAGAGAGCACGCAAGCACAAGCAGGGGGAGGGGCACAGGGAGAGGGAGAAGCAAGCAGACCCCCTACTGAATAAGGAGCCCGATGCGGGACTCGATCCCAGGACCCTGGGATCATGACCTGAGCCGAAGGCAGACGCTTAACCGACTGAGCCACCCAGGCGCCCCTTGCCTTAGCCTATTGTTTTTAGGCAGACTGTGAAACCCTTGGACATGGCATGTTCTCATCATTTGCCTCAACTTCTCCATCCTCCATGCCCTTATTTCTGCTGTTCCCGAGGTCTGTGTTCTCTATGAGTCCTGTCTAAAAAGTTTTGACTGATGGAAGCTTCTAGAAAATATAAAGGTTTTCTCGAAAAGGCATACATAAAAATAAAATAATTTACATTAAAATGAATAATATGACATCCTGCTTAGCATTCTCTCTTGGCATTGCTTTGTTTACAGGACATTTCTGTGATGTAGGATGGAAATTATCTAAATTTATAGAAAAATGAAACACAGGATGATTTTTAAATAAAATGAATAACCTACCTAAATATTAAATCTTATTTTACAATGCATTTAATTGTACCTTAACAAGGTTTGCTTTATGGAAGAGGCTTTGAAAATATTTTTAATTTGCTTTTAATTTAGCACTTAGTAATAAAATACATGAGTGGTATTTAGAGGAGGGTCTGGCACATAATGAGAACTTAATAAATGTAAGCTATTTTTTTTAAAGATTTATTTATTTGACAGAAAAAAAAAGAGAGAATTAGAGCACAAGTGAGGGAAGGGGCAGAGGGAGAGAATCTTCAGAGTCTCCAAATCCTGAGATCATGACCTAAGCTGAAACCGGGAGTAGGAAGCTTAACTGACTGAGTCACCCAGGTACCCTGATATAAGCTATTTTTTATCATTATTAGCCTGAAAACACTGGTGCTATATTGTTTTTTAATGTGCCGTTGTCATTTTGGTATTATCCAAATGAAGAGTGTTTCATTAGTATTCTTAGATGCTATCGCACTGACTTTTATTAAAATTTAAATGATACAGTCCATAATTCAAAAACATAATTAAAGCAGTATAGAAGAGTATAGTATCATAAAATGTAAATTTGTTGTCTGTCATATAGGACAGTCCACAAAATAGATAGCTACCTTCCATCTTTATAACTTTAATGTAATGAGTGCTTAACAGTCCATTAGACTAGATGTATGCCTCAAAATCATAATTTAGTTTGTCAACATGAAAGATATAATTAAAAACAATTAACTTTTATAGTAAGATATTTCATAGGGATATTGCCAATTTTATCTTCATGTGTCATATCATGATTTCCAAACAGCCTGATTTTTTCTCCTAATGTACCTAGAGCAACAGTTGAGTGCCAAAGCAACAGAGTGTGGGCTTAGCTGAATCATTTTATATATCTGTCCCTACAGAAAAATGCTGCTGAAAGTGTCTTATTAAAAACTCCTAAGGATTGTCTTTCCTTTCCCCAGAAGTATTGCTCCCATATTGTAGAAGACACAATCTAAATGTACCCTGATAAATATTTTTGTATGTGGCTTGAGGCAGATTTTTAGAAGCGGGTCATGTTATCTAAAGAGCTATTTTACCAAGGTAACTATCCTAAAGTTTTATATTTTTTAACCTTCATTCTATGTTGGTTACCTGTATTCTAGAACTGGCTTTAGAATTTTGTTCCTGTATATAAAAATCCCAGAGAATTAATAAATTTTACAGCACAGAAGAGCAAGAAGGCACACAAATAAAAATGCAAAAATGTTACTTTAATATTCTGTAAGAAAAAATAATCTCCGCATTGCCTCCCAACTTTGAGTATCTCCCCCACAAAATGCTCAAATCAAAAATGGACAAATTGCAGAAATTCTAAACTACATTTTACTGAAGGAAATGAAAAGAGTACTGAATGACATTATGCCATCAATATCACTGACAGATAACTTGCTTGAAACCTGTGATGCATACTTTCAAAGAATGACTTATTTACAAAACGGGAAACAGTATTAGGCTGCAAACAAGCAATCTGGAAGATGTAAAAATAAGATGCTACCAAGGCATGTTCCTTATACTGAGGAGTCTAATATATAAGAGATGAAGAACAGTCAATAATCTTCTAAAGTTGTAAATGAAAAAAAAATCATTAAATTTAATGGAGAAAGAAACACAAGGAAAAACACAGTTGTTTTGTCTGTTACTCATTTAATATCATAAACTTGTGGACACAGATCCGTGAGAGAGATAAGAAATAGGACAATTTCTGGTCTTTTTAATTAAAGAACTCATTTGCCAGAGTGTCAAGAGTAGCTCTTTGGGGAAAAGGCTAAACTAATGTGGACTGATTTGCTATGGATTTGTGTCTAATAATTAACTGATTAGAAAACCATCAACCAGTGATCTACCAATTATCCACTCATTTCTTCTATTAATGTCATTATAAAATTAGGAAAACTTCTAACAGGTGTGTCTAGA